GGGATGGGCTTGAGAGACAGTAACGGGACGGGGAGACACAGGAGCAGGCAATGGGCTCTGCAGGGTTTGCTTGGATGGAGGAAGCCACGGCCCAAGAAAGACCTTTCACTTTGAATTGAGTAGCAACGTAGACTAGAAAGGGCTCTTTGAAGTATGTGATTCTCAGAAATTACTTGCTTGGTGAAGCCCGAACAACCAGTGCAAATGGTGCTTATTGGGTTCTGAAATTACTTGCTTTTGCAAAGGAAGGTTGTATAAATGTTACTTGATTTGATTTCTCCGTAGTCTTCTCAAGTTCAATAAGCCATGCTGTCATTTTTTAAGTATGTAATATTAGATAATATTCAGTTCCACCGACTCCATATTCATTATCAGTGATCAAAGTCATACGTCATTTCACTATATTCAGAGTATCTTTATCTTAGGAAAACAGTGGTCAGTCTTACAGCTATCATCAGTGCAGCCAAAAATATGCTGCCAAGGCTGCCCTTGACTGTCAGTAGTCGTTGCTAACACAACACTAATTTTGTTTGAATGATGTGATGGGTAGCAACAATGTACCTTGACTCAGGGAATATATTAAGATGGATAAATTCAGTCACTCATGGTTGTTCTGTTTCTCTTTGAAAAATACTTTCCCATCCTCCCTTGCTGCTAGGAGTGAAATGTTACCAGCTGGGAACAATGAGACATAAAATAAAAGTTGGCTGGGAGTTTTCCAGTGAACATTTGCTTTTCAGATAAAAGAGACAGACTTGACAGAAAGCTTGCTGCCATTCCTTTTCGCCTTCTTCTTATCTGGAAAATTGATGTGATGCCTGGAACAGAGGTAGCCATATTGAGTCCATGAGGCAATAAGCATGATGTCTAGGAAGTCAGAGTGAGAAAGAAAGAGCCTGAGCCATTGATAACACAGTTGAGTTCTCAGACTACCCTGAGACCATACCTCTGGACTTCTTGTTTAATAAAAACAAATGTCCTTATCCTTGGAGCCATCATTGATAGTTATCTCTTTACTTGCAACTAAAAAATAAATTTATACTGAAAAGCAAAGTAAATAATGCATAGCAATGGTATACAGCTATGGAAATGGGGACACATGTGGCCTGACTTGCCATTGTTTGGGGTGGATGTTTTCTCATTCCATAGCTTTTTATGCTAAATAGGAAAGGGAAGACACTCTTTTTGTTCCCCTCAGTCCTCAATGATTATCAAGTACAAAGAAAACACGCTACAATGCACTCTCACTACAGTGGCTATTAAGGGATGAGATAGGTAAGTCTATAGGTCGATGATGCCACACTAAAATTCTTCTGTGCATCTTGGAAATATACTCTCTGTGCTATACTGTTTTGGGGCAACAGGAAATAGGCTGAGGACCAGATCTCCCATGACAATGCTTTTGCTGGGAGTCTGGATTAAGTGCACTGCAAGAGCAAGACAATTGCCTGTAGTGGGCTGGGAGCTATACCATGAACCTGCTCCCATCTATAGAACTAAGACAAGAATTCAGCCAGTACTCAAGTGGACCATGAGCCCAACCCAAAGCAGTCCAAACAGCCTCTCTGTTGGTGGGAGGATAGATCTTACCTTGCTCAATGATGAGTAAAGAGGTCAAAAATGAATTACGTGAGGAAATGCTATAGAGCAAGGTAAAGGGAACATCACTGCAAAGACTCAGAGGAAGAACATGTCTCTGAAAATAGTTTCCTGCAGGAACCACATTTGGGGAAATGTGTGGCATCCTTAACAGACAGAAAAAAGAAATGTAAGGAGGAAGAAAAAACACACTAATAGAAACAAATATGTTAAGAATGAACCATAAGAGTTCTGAGTACCATTACTCTCTAAGAACTACCATGGACCAGCACTGCACTGGGAGCTGTAGCTCAGAGGTAGCATAAACGTAGCTCCTGACCATCAGGGGCTCACAGTGCAGTGATCCCATCCCAACCAAATAACTTGTTCCAAATTGAATTGTAACAGTGAGCTATGGTATCATGAGATCCTACTGTATTTAAAAGGAAACACTGATGTCTTCTGGACACAGTCATTCTATTCTGGAAAGAAATTTAATTACCATCTCCTAAGTAAGTAAATGCAGCAGGGGATGCACAGAGGAATGGAAACCGAGTGTTTTATTCAGCCCTGCTTGTTTCATGCAGGACATTCTAAGAAAATCCATCATTTTTTAGAAGATGTATTTCTCCTTGCTTAACAAAGAAGTGATGGAAGATGCCCAGGAAGAGAGGTCAGGTAATGAGAACAGCAAAAACTCCTGCCTCCATCCAACCAGCACGCAGCCTTGGGTTGAGCCGTGAGCTCTTTAAGGACTCAGGTGGGTCTCTGCACTGGCACGGGGACTCGCCAGGGACGCTCACTCACTGCTTCTGATACTGACAAATGTCGATCCAATTCTGGCAGCCCGTCTACCTCCAACCTTCCCCTGCCCTCTTCTGAAAACTGAAATTAAGTCAACACACCCAGAACTTCCTATCCTCTCTTCCTCGCCGTTGAGGAGACAGCAGTTCCCAGCAGAGGAGTGCAGGGGGAAGAGGACAACCACTTCTCAACCCGTTAACTAAGCCCTTTCCCCAGGACCCTGCCTCCAGCGCCACACTGATAAACCTAAGGGTGAGAGCGGGCCACAAGCTGGGCCAGTTAGAGATTACCACCACGCCCTGGGCACAGTGGCCGGGAAAGGGACAGACAGCTGACCCAGTGGGGACAACTGCAGAGTAGCTTTGGAATTTATGACCTAAGGACCAGAGAGCACAGTGCCCATTTCCTCTGAACTCATCAGGATGCTCTGAACTCATCAGGATGCTGCTGCCTGCCCTGTGGAGGAAGCTGGAATGAGAGCAATGATGCCAACACCCAGAGGTTCAGGACGCCAGATGCATTCCCAGCTACTCCCGCGGCACAGCCACACCGAGACCTTCCTGAAGTCAGCCGTGTTAGCCTTCCAGACACGTTTTCCTTTAAAGTCTAAATGAGTTTAAACTGGGTTTTGACATTTACAACCAAACCAAACCAAACCAAACAAACCCACTGATTGTTATACCCTTTGTATGTTTTGGTTTTCCAAAAGAAATTTTTTTTCCTGATTATAAAAATGAGACATAATTCAGTGTAATTTTTTTTAATTACTAGAATTCCACCATCTGGACATAACCACTGTCTTTTAATATTCTTGTAGGCATTTTTTTCCTTTGAAAATAAATAGATCATTTTACAAGAGTGCAATTCTATAAAATACCATTTCACCTAAAAATATGTTTTTGTCATTTTGATAGAACAAAACTTCTAAATTTCCATTTTAAAAATGGGTATGTAGTATTTTATTACATTAACCACCTTAATTAATGTACCCAGTCCCTTTCGTAGGACATGTACGTTATTTCAAAAGCTTTATTGTTATAAAGAACACAACAGTGAACATCTTTGTATGCATGTTTTGGACCACTTGATTACCCATTTCTCACTTCTCAAATTCTAATAGTGTTATCTGTCTTTTCACACTTAACAAGTTTCAGCACCTCTTCCTGTAGCCCGTCCTATCAGTTTCACATATGCCCTCGTGATTCATTCCATATTCATTCACACTGTCAACAAACATTTCCTGAGCGTACATTATGTGCCAGCCACAATACTAGATGTGGGGGAAAGAAATGTGGATAAACTTTGGCTTCTATCCCTAAGGAAGAAAGAGAAACTAGCATCTATTGAAATCTGACTCTGTGCCAAAAACTGTAGAGAAGTCTGTGTCTCATTTCTTCTTCATTTACAAGCAAAACACCAACCTGATGCCATGGTTCATATTATCTCTTTTCTGTAAGTGAGGAAAAGGAAGTTCAGAGAGGTTGAGTAGCTCATCCAAGATCATACAGTTAGTAAGTGCAAAGCTGGAACTTAAACCCAGTTCTGTCTGATTTCTTTCTGTCCCACACAGTTTAAGGAAAGAGGTATTGACAAAAGCAAGCTGTGAGGGCTTTGTAAAATCTGGGCAGAAAGGATGTATTTAGGTCCACCAACCATGATGATCAGCAGAGGTAGACCTTAGACAAGTCTTGCAGGCAGCTTTTCAATAGTCCGGGTTAAAGGGTCAAAACCCAACCTTAAGTGATTTGCCCAACTCCACACAGCTTCAGGGCGCCCTTGGTAAGCCAGAATATTTGCCAACTGGAAAGTCAGGGAGAGTAGGAGGCTGTTTCTAAACAGCCCCTGTTAAGAGAAGCTGAAACCAGCAGGTGTAATAAAGGTTCCTGGAAAGATCAGAACAGCAGTGAGAGAGCAGAGTCACAGGAAAAAGGAGCTTGGAGAAAAGGGACAAACTGCCGGGAAGCCTTAGGGCTCAGGCTGGTGGGGGGTGACACCCTGAGTGGCCTCACTCTATGAACAGGAGATGTCCCAGCTTCAGCCAACTCTCAGAATAAGCATGCATGTCACTGGAGGCTGGGCGTGGAGGCGCCTGGAGGCACCGCTCACCAGGCATGAGGCTGCAGTAGCTGACTTAGCCTGGATGGTCTGTGACTCAGAGTCTGCTGAGGGCTTTGGATTTGTCTGGACGGGATCCACAGAGCTGACCAGGCAGCACCCCATGGTGCAGAGCCAGGAAGAACTTCCCCAAATGGACAGGCCTCAGCTCTTTCTTTCTCTAAGAAAAGACCTGAAGTGCTGAGCATGTGCATGTGAGGAGTTTGCCTCTGGAGCTGCCATCCCCACCCCTCCCTTCCTTGTACCAGTTCCAAGCTTGTCCTGTGGCCGAATCCCCACCAGAGGGATCATGGCAGAGTGGTGAATTTCCACCCTGTTTTAACCCCCTCTTTTCTTTTACAAACAAAATGGAACACGGATAGAGAAAGTAAAAAAAAAAAAGGGGGAACTGCTCCCGTCCGAATAGGGGTTAGGGATGCCAGGATTCCCTTCCTCTCCAAGAATGCTGCGTTGGGAATACAGTTCAAAAACCACTACCACCGCTGGCAGAGCCCTGAATTTGAAGTTCGAACGCCCAGGTTCTAATACAGGCCCTACCATGTCGAAAGTGTGGCTTTCAATATGTCATTTAACCTCTCTTGGACTCCAATGCTTTCATCTGTGAAATGAAGACAGTCATTCGTGCCCACTTCAGACGTTGCTGTGAGCATCAGGTACAACCAGGTGGGTGGACAGAAGCCGCTGTAAAATGCCACGTAAGAATGCCACATCCCTTTCCTGGGCTTCTCCACATGTGCAGAGCCCACGGCTCCTCCACATCCTTGGATCTTGGACAAAGCCACACCCCTTGGGACCCAGTAGGATCTTACTTTTATGGTTTTCAAAGAGGAACAGTCATTTCAAAGGTACATTTCTTGGGTTTTTCTCCCCTCCATGTTGTTATTCTTGGATTGCCCTTTTCACTTTTCTCTGACAAGCAGACCTACATCTGTGCCTCAGTCCCCACACCAGGAGACCCAGACCTGCTGCCCTCAGGTGCTGTCACCTGAATCGGTGTCTTCCACAGCAGCTGCACCACGTGTTTCAGCTGATTTAGGACTCTCTGGGAAATCCCTTTTAGTGGGGAGTGACAAGCCCATCCCCTCTCCTCCTCTAACTATACCCCAGGTCCATACAAAGCTAAAACACCAATTCTTTTCTCTGAGTTGTGCCAGAGAAGCCGTTCAGTCTGGCGGTTCTCCTGGTGCTCAGTACTGGAGGTGGCAGCCCTACGCGTGGTGAAAGACAGTTGAAGGTGGCGACAACAGGCCCTCGCACCAGCAAAGCAAGAGATGGTGAGAACGAAGGCTGTGGTGGTAGCAGTGGTTTATTGGAGGGGAACACATCAATTTCTCGAAGTCATGGGCTAGCTTAAATCATGAGCTTGATTTGGAGGGCGGTTCAGTAAATTATGGCACCCATGCTGGTCCCGGCGGCCCCCACTGCTAGAGCTCTCCTTCTATTGTGTGACACTCAGGATGGGTGACCTGGGTTGTAGTTCCATGTTCCCAGATAATCACCAGCTGTATACCAAAGGCGTATGTGTGTTTGTTCTATAAAACTGGATAGACTTGTCTTCTGGGTAGGAGCGCAGCCTGTGATGTGAATTCTGCTAGTAGAGTGGTTTCAGGTCTGTGGCACCAACTGTCACCCCTTAAGAGAGAGCAGGGGTGGTGCTCCTGGAGGGCCAGTGGCTTGGATGGCCCATTGTGCGCAGGGTAGGAATCAGATTTCAAATGGGGGGCAATCATTCTACCCTACACCCCACGGATGAACAGAGCTTAATTTAGCAGTTACTTACTCAAGAGGAGATTTACTTCCTCCTTTCGCACCTGTTTTGACATTTCCTCTACATTCACAGACTTTAATTCACTTGACTTTAACAGAGCCACAGACTCTTTCAGGAAACTCATAGCCCATCTTTGCATTTTGTTCCTTCTTTTTAAAAAATCTTGACCCTTCGTTTTACTTAACTTTTTTTCTGTTTTTTTATTGAAGTACGGTGGCTGTACAATATTATGTAAGTTACAGGTATACAATATAGTGATTCCCACTTTTTGGAGGTTACACTCCACCTATAGTTATTACAGAATATTGGCTAATTCCCCACGGTGTGTGGTACATCCTCGTAGCTTATTTATATTATAATAGTAGCTGGTGCCTCTTCATCCCCTGCCCCTATCTTGCCCCCTCCCCACTGGTAGCCACGAGTTTGTTCTCCGTGTCTGGGAGTTTGTTCCTTTTGTTGTCGTTGTTATATCCATTAGTGCGTTGTCTGTTTCAGATTCCGTGTGTAAGGATATCATACAGCATCCATCTGTCTCTGTCTGACTTACTTCGCCAAGCATTGCGTTTTCTCTCGAGGGACACAGCCCAGTGAAGAGAAGGAAGACACGCGGTGAAAGGAGCGAGGCCCCGGCAGAGGATCCAGCCCTGAGACTCCTGGCAGCTAGAGCTGCCCTTTTCGCCAGAGGGGCACTCGAGGCTTCCACCGTTTGGCCTCTTCCCACCCCTCAGCTCTGTTCCTCGATGTCCCTCTGAAACGGGGTAACCCCTCAGGGCCGGGCGTCAGGACCATGGTGTTCTCCCAGAGTACAATGGGGGGAGAGGCAATGGGGTTGAAAGACACTTTTTTTGTCTCTTTCACACGCTCCACTCCCACAGCCCATCCTTGGGTCTTTCCCTGGTGCCAACGAGACATCACACACACTCCCGGCAGATGCTGCCCACCTCCCTCTTCACAGGCAAGGCTTCCTGTCCTTCAGCCTGCAGGGTGCACAGGGGTGTGGTGTCACCTGGTGTCATGGTTCCCAGTGGAGCATGGTAACCCCAAGGCTCACCAGCTTTCAAGCTGAAGACCAGAGAACTCATTGGTAAATGAGTGTGAAATGTGTTTTGTGCCTACACCCAACGTTTAATTCTATCTGCCATAAAGGGGCTGGGGAGCGTATGGGATAATCGAAATCTTAATTGGTTAATTGGTTTTAAATTCCCTCCCCATCAGGCCTTTTACATGAGCTATTAATTCTCCATTTTCCTCCTTTCATTTTCTCTTTCCAACCTCTGCTTGGGGAGCCATTCAACCATGACAGGACACAAGGCCAGCGGCCGGGCAAGGGGGAAGATGGGAGCCTGGACCCTCTGCAGGCTGGACCATAGGCTCCCGAACTGATAGGATCCCATCTCACAGGGGCGAGTCGGCTCACCACCCTTCACCCTGCTTGTAACTCAGGGGCAGACCTGCTCCGTGAGGCCCCTCCCCTTCACGGAGCGCACCCGCCAGGGCAGAAGTGCAGAAAGTGTGACTTTGCTCCTGGGGTGGGAGAGGAGGAAGGAGCTGACTGTTGCCAAGGGAACAAGGAGTCCTGTGTGAGTCGAGGATGTTCTCAGCCTCAGAACTGGCCGGGAGAGCTCTCAGACACGCAAACCCCCACAGGTGCAGAATGGAAAACAGAAGTGGCCCTGGGCGAGGCTGGAGCAGCGGGTTACCCACTTTGCATACGCTCCTAGGAGGCTAAAGTTAGGTTCTGGGTCAGCCAGGTGGAGGGGCTACATGCAGCTATTCCCCACCACCGAGCTGGGGGCTTGCGTGTGCTTTGGCTGGGACAGGGTCTGGCTTTCCGAGTCCTGGATTAGGCCCCAGGTCACCACTGTGTTGGGGTAAAGTGGGGGAAAGAGCACAACTGCTTCCTTTTCCCCCAAGTCTGACCATCACAGATTTAAAATCTGGCTGAAATGGATAGAAGGATTGTCAAGTCTGGCCTAACCATCCCTACGCCGTCAGGTCTACCTCCCTCTCCACTCCTCTCCAGACCTGAAACATCACCAGGTCCCACAAGAGAGGCCCCAGCCTGGCACTGCTCATGGACTCCACCAGACCCATTTCCGCTAACCTGTCTCCTACCACATTACTTGCTTCTGACCTCTGACCCCATGATGGGCCTTCCTTTCTGTGGTCTAGCCTCATCCCCTTACACCCCACGCTCAGCTTCTCTGGCCTTCAATTTTGCTTCCTTCCTTCCTCAGCCATAGTTTGCATTTCTTTTGCCGTGAGACTCCTTGAGCCGTGCAAGCCCTCAGCTGTGCAGGACTCAGGAGACAGGTGTCAACCAAAGAGCCTAAGGGGCGAGGAGGTCTGCAGGTTGTGTGTGCCAAACGCAGACGCCTGCGCCCCTCAGTCTTGTCAGTGGTGCCCAGCAACCCAGCCTCCTCTCAGCTGTGGGATCTGAGCAGACCCCTTGAGTCCAGGCCAGGAAACAAGGGCCCTGTCTGCTGAACCCCAGGGCACGCACGCTGTGCTAAAGGCATGGTCCACCTCTGTGCCTTTGGAAGACAGCACCTTAGACAGAGGATTCTTTTTTTTAAGGGCTAGGGGCAGGGAGGAAAGGGTGGTGGTTTTAGGCAGGATGTGAGGCTTCCAGTCAGCTGCTTTGCATCACAGGTTGTCAGGGATGGATGGAGGCCCGTCTGTCCACAGCGGTCTCCACGGCCCTGTGTGAGCACGGCGGGGAGGGGAGCAGCCGGGGTGGAGACGGAGGAGAGCTCAGAACCGCTGCCTGTCCCTACCTCGGGCAGCCGGCCAGCCCCACCGAGTGAGCACACATCCCCTTTTTTGGTCCTGGAGATGAAGGGCTGTTTTCTCGTCAGGAGAATGTTATACATTCTAATGCTTCCAAAACCAAGAGGCTGGTTGTGACTGGATTCGGGTCACCAGGACAGCAGGTGAGCGAGAGGAGAGGCTGAAAAGGACAGTGGGTGACATTCAAGAAGCTGTCACCCCTAATCCCACCTGGGCTCTTTTTTAACGTGGTGTTGTTCCCAGCTCGCCGACGGCGTGGCCACCACCCGGCAGGCCACTGCGCTCAGCCTGCCGGGTGGTGCGCCGGTGGCAAAACAGCACAGAAGGCTCTAATCACAAGGAGTTAAATATCTGATGAGGGAGGGGTGATGGGACCCAGGAACACCCAGCGGGATCTGCCTGAACAAACATGAGAATTACGTGAGGATAGACAGGAGCCGGGAAACCATCACAGCACAGAGACAAGCACAACCACGGGGCCCCGAGATCAGCCTTGGAGGTTGATCCAGATTCCTCCCATCTGTTTCCAGGGGTTTATCCTGAAAGAGATATTGGCTCCTCTGGGAATCACTTGGGAGCACTGTCTGTCTAGAGACCAGCTACAAACATCAGGGGCCAGGTCCCTACAAAGCAAAGTCACTCCATGTAGATGGTGGACCAGGACCTGACAGAGGAGGACCAGGAGTAAGACTGCCTCAGAAACAGTAAAGTGACGCGCCCATCAAACCTCCACGCTTACCGCAAGCCAGTCACGTGACTGACCTCACACCTGAGGGACTGTTTGGCTCGCCTGTCTGTTTCTTCCATGTGGGAGGAAACAGGTGCCAAGAAAGGTAAATTACAAAAGAAAACTCCTGCCTTATCCTGATTACCTGGGAACAAACACAGAGAAGGCTTCCTTCCTTTAAAAGTTAAAGCTGTAGAGAGCGGAGCCAGGGGTTCTAACCTGGGCGCCACTGGCGTCACGGCCTGGAGGGTGCTTTGTTATGGGGGCTGTCCTATGCACTGTAGGCTGAGAAGCAACATCTCTGGTCTCTGCTGACTAGGCTCCACCTCCAGGTGTGACCATCAAACCTGTGTCATGACACTATCAAATGTCCCCTGGAGGCAAAGTCATCTACAGACGGAGGGGCTGGGGTCCCTGGCTGCACCAGGGACACACCCTGCCACTGGCTTTAGAAAGGTCTTAACTTCCAAAACGGAAACAGAATCACAGGAGGCTCAGTGGAGATCATTGGGGTTCAGTGCGGCTCAAATTCGAATGACATGTGGGGGCCTCCTCAAGAAAAAAAATGTTTGAGGATTTTCAGTGTGGATGCAAATTACTTTTATAAGATTGTTAGTTAAATATGTACAAACATGAAACTGGGCGTATGTCCGCAGGCTTATAACTTCTACAACTATAAAGTCAAAACGACATCACGATTTTGACAACCAAATAGCAAACCAATAAATCTCAAGCTAGCAGCATTAATTTAAGGAGACAGATGGCGTGATTCTGCGGAGTAAACTGCCCCTCACTTTGTCCTGGGCACCTAGTCACTTCTTGAGGTTGGGCATCGTCCCCTGACTCAGATCTCACACAATGTGGTCTCTTCAAACTCCCGTGAAAACTCTGGTTGTGAGCCTTGCATGAGGTCACTTGGCAAATACAGGCTGTACTCATCAAGGTCACCCCCTGTGTTTTCATCTGGCTGGCCTGAGACAACTGGAACAGCACATCTGGGCCCCAGTGTGGTCATCATCACAGAGCAGTGCTGGCGCTGTCAGCTCTAAGGTGGACACACAGAGGACCCGGATAATGTGCGTGTTCTGTAGATTGTCATCACAGTGAAAGGAATTTCTTATTTAAAAAAAAAAATTCCCATAGAGAACGCCCAAGAATACACTAGGAGACTCTTAAGAGGAGTTCTAATCAGGTCTGATCCCTTTTACAGATAAGGATTGAGGCCCAGAGAACAGCGCGGGGAAACGGCCCTTGAGGGTCAGGGCTGGCTGGCAAGGAGCCTCTGCTCTGGCGGCCAGCGCTCTCCCCTCTCCTCCGGCTGTCTTTCCAGCTCCACGTTCTAGGATTCTCATGGGAAACTATGCATAAGATTTGGCTTATTGTTTTAAATGTTCATGAAACTGAACTGAATACTTAAAGCTTATCTTTCAAAGGAACTAAACTGAATTAGGGAGTTTTTTTTTGCAAATCTTGATCTCTTTCGTGCACGCATGTGCACGTGCATGTGTGAAATATAACATAAGTACATAAAAGTGCATTAAACATTCACATCCAGTTTAGTGAGTACTATAAAGTGAAAACCCATGAAACCACAGCAGGGTCAAGAAACAAAACATTTCCGGTGCCCAGAAGTCTCGAGTGTTCTTTGTGATCACAATCCTTCCCTTCCTCTAAAAGAAACCACCATCCTGACCTTTATTATGATTTCCTTGCTTTCCTTTATAGCTCTCCCCTCTCTCCAAGCATCCCGAAGCAGACTTAGTTTTGCCGGATCATGAGCTTTTTCATCAGTGGACACTTATTCTACGGATTCCTGTCCTGCTTCTTTTGCTCAGCGTTAACGGGTGTGAAATTCATCCCTGCTGTTACCAGTGGCTCTAATGCTCCCTTATCCTTTCTTTGTCGGGCAGACATTTGGGTTGTTTCCAGCTTGGGGCTATTATGCACAACGCTTCTCTAAACATTCTTGTATATATCCCAGTCCACGGGATGCACACGCATCCACCTCCAGGACGTTTTCCCACAGCAGCGTTTCTTCAGTTGAAAACAGGGTGTGTGAATCTTCAACCTCAGTCAGCAATGGCAGCTATTTTCCAAAACCACTGCTTCCACTGAAAACGCCCACTAGCAGCATTTCCCACTCTCTGTCCTCATTAGTCCTTGTTATTGTCAAACTTTAAAATTGTAACTGGTTGCGTGGGTGTATGGTGATATCTCATTACAGGTTTAACTTGCATTTCCCTGAACACTAAAAAAATTAAAAAATTAAATAAAGCATCTCTTGCCACAGTTATTGGCTACATGAATTTCTTCTCATGTGATGTCCTGTCCAAGCCTTTTGCCATCTTCCTGTTGTCAAATTTTAAATTTCTTTTTAAATAAATTTTTATTTTCATCAAAATTTCATTTGACAGAAACATGTGCCCATTTTCCAACGTACCTCTGTTTACCCAAAGACTGTATACAGTTAAAGGCAAAAAACCTAAGATCTGTAAACTTGGAACTGATTGTTTTTCTACCCCAAATCATTGAAAAGGTAACAGTAGAGGTCCACAGAAAGCTACCAACCCAAATCTTTTTTCTTGTCTCTATTTCCCAAATCTAACATTCTTTTATTGAACTGCGCTCCCTCTTGTTTCCCTGTATTTTCATAGAGAACAAACATACCCATATATTTATCACAGTCCTTTGTTGAGATCAAGCACAGACAAGGCCATTCATTACCTATTCTATATTTCCCAGTGCTGTGTGTTGTATGCACTGTTACGAGTCAGTTAAATGTCAACAATAAAGTGGTGCCTCGATTATATACATGACAGCGCAGCTGAGATAATATTAAGTAAAATACACGGCTCTAACAGTTACGCATATCTAAGAAAAGAAACAGACAGCTCGCTCAAGCCTGAGCTCTAGTTTTGCTCACCTTATCTCCTTTAGACATTTGGGGATGAGCTCATTGGCAAAGCGTGACGCCCATATAATCTGCCATTAAATAAATTATTCAGTAATCTGTGATGTTCTCGTAACGTGAGAATCCCCTATTAAAAAAATAAATAGCCGCACTGCTTTCAGAGGCATGTGCCTACTATATACACTCTTTTCAGAAGCTGCTTTGCTAGTGAACCCAGTGGGGACTCCCTGGTAACCTACAGATTTGATGTTTGTTGCAGGGTTTCTACACAAGCCGCTCATTCCATGCTTGTATGTGGGTGTGAGATGCAAACACACACGCTCAGAGGACCAGCAGGGAGAGCCCAAGCAGGTATGAGCTATTTGTTAAACTGGCTCATTCTCCCCTTAACACTTTGGACACTCAAGTAGGGCCAAAGTAACTACGGGTCACCTGCAGATTCAATGACATGCATTCCTGACTGTCTCCCGGCCAAGGGGTCTCTACTTTTTTCAAAGTAAACATTTCAGCTGTCTGCTAAAAACATCAGTTTCACTCACAGACCGATAAAAGCTTGAGCACTGAGCTTCTGCTCTTACCTTTCGTCTTCCCCCAGGGGCAAGGATGATGGCCTGAAAGCTGGGGTGTGACCTGGGCAGCATGGAGATGAGGACCAAGGAGGCAGCTTGCAGATCAGAGCTGGGCGGGTGGCCTAAATGAATTCTCACTCCTGAAGAGCTGGAAAAGAAATAGTCAGGTATCTATTTTTCATAGTTTAATTTTTTTATTAGAAAAAATATGTTATGAATATGGAAACATAATTGGTATGTCGACAAAGCAATCCCCTTTACAACAGGCCCGTAAAGGCTAGCACAGCCCATTAACTACACTGTTCATGCAGCAGATGTCGTATTAACTTTTGAGTTGACAATCACTGAAAATATTTCAACAAAGTGCATCAAGTCATGTCTCAAAAGTAGACACTCATAGAATTCTCAGCATAATAAAAACTGTGTGCACTGATGAGTGAAATGAGATTATGTGAATACTAGCAGAAATTCAGTGGAATATATGAATTTTTCCAACACTTTACTCAGCTGTTTAATAGTAAAGAAGCTTCTGAAAAACAGTACATGAGACAGAGAAAGACAAATACTGTATGATATCACTTACATGTGGAATCTAAAAAATACAACAAATTAGTGAATATAACGAAAAAGAGGCAGACTCACAGATATAGAGAACAAACGAGTGGTTACCAGTGGGGAGAGGGACGGGAGGAGGGGCAGTATAAGAACAGGGGATTAGGAGGTACAACCTATTGTGTGTAAAATAAGCCACAAGGATGTATCATACAATACGGGGAATTAGCCAATATTCTATAATAACTATAAATGGAATATAACCTTTAAAAACTGTAAATCACTAGATTGTACACCTGTAACTTATATAATATTGTACAGCAATTATACATCAATAAAAAAAGTAAAAAACAAAATATTGTATCACAAAATAAAACAATACAGGAAAGCTGCACAAATCAGTTTACAATTAAAAGCTGAAATATAAAAATAGATTTAAAAGACTTAAACCACCACCATGAGATTTCACTACACACCTATCAGAATGGCTAAAAGAAAAAGCAGTGACAGTAGCAGTTGCTGGCAAGGATGTACAGGAACTGAATCACTCACACATCACTGGTGGGAAACCAGTTGGTGACGGTCTCCTGTAAAACTAAATGAGCAATTACCACGTGACCCAGCAACTGCCCTCTTGGGCAATTATCCCAGAGAATGAACACTTATGTTTTATCTTTATACAAAAACCTATATATATGGTATTCTTTTTTTTTCCTCTTTCAGGGGGGTAATTAAGTTTATTTATTTTTTTAATGGGGATACTGGGGATTGAACCCAGGACCTTTGCATGCTAAGCATGAGCGCTACCACTGAGCTCTATACCCTCCCCCTAAAACCTGTATATATGAATGTTCACAGCAGCCTTACATAATAGCCCCAAACTGAAACAACTCAGATGTCCCTCACTGGGTAAATGGTTAAATTAACCATGGTACCTCCATTCCTTGGAATACTACCCAGCAACCAAAAGGAACAACTTATGGAAACATGCAAAAACTAGGATGGGTCTCAAGAGAATTAGGCTGACAGGAAAAAGCCAATCCCAAAAGGATAGATAGGGTACAATTTCCTTTATACAACATTCTTGACATGACAAAATTACAGCAATAGAGAACAGGTTGCCAGGGGTTAGGTCTGGGGAGTCGAGAAGGGAGCAGGAAGAAGATGGGTAGAGCTATGATAAAAGAATTTTTTTTCACCTATTGAGACATTAGGAAGACATTCTGGCTTACACGTGAGTCAACTTGAATCTCATGCTAACTAAAATAGCCTGTTTGTGGCCTATCAAACAGACATTGTACACCTGCTTTAATTATTAAAAGAAAGGGCACATTGACCAGAAATAAAGAATGTCCATGCTGAAGACTAAAAGCCCCTCTTCCTGAGATGCCAGCGCTGGTACTCCTTTCATGGCAAGACTTCCGTCCCAAGTGTCACGGCCATACTGTACGTGCTGTATATGTACGTGCTGGTCTGGTTTTTTTAAAACCTTGAAGAAATACATTCCTAACTTGTTTAATGTTCTTTGTTCTGACAAGATATAAAACAGTGCTGGAAACCATGCTTCTCCGGAGCAGTTTCTCAGAGTCATCTGGGAAGCGGGCTCCCAGGCTAGTCCACAGTTTGGCTCAAATAAAACTCTTTTCTATTCTTATTTTTGATGATTTTCATTCTTGATTATTTTTGACAGTTATACAAAGGCAGCACAAGAGATGGTGGCTGATACACAAAACTCCACACGTGGTAAAATAGCATAGAGCTAAATACACATACACACACACACACGACAAGGGAAATATGAGTAAGATCTGAGGACTATACCAATGTTAATATCCTGAGTGTGCTATTATATCATAGTTTTGCCAAGAGGCTACCATGGGGAATACTGGGTAAAGAGCTCGTGGTATCTCCCTGTGCCATTTCTCACCGCTGCACATGAATCGACAACTACCTCAAAATAAAGTGCTTGACTAAATTTTAAAAATTAAATGCAATCTGGTATTCTCATGTTAGACATCTGTTAACCTTGTTGTAGCGAGAAAGAATTCCGCTGTGAAGCAACAGAAAGACCAGTGGGGAAGCCTGGAGAAAGTTCAAAGTGGAGGACCAAGGCAGAGGCTAAAGTTATCCCTGCGCCTGTGTGTTCGTGAAGGGGAGGTAATAGCAGGGGTTATTTTGGGGGTGCCAGGGTGCAGAGGGGGCTATTGGCATTGGGGACCCTCTGTGTGCTAGTGAGGAGACTTTTAGAAGCAAAAGAGGGGGACAGATGGCAGCTCCTATGGGGCCCAAATTCCAACCAGGAGTTTAACTGCCGGGACTCAAACATCCACCATTGGACAGAGCTAGAATTACTCCAGCTGCTGGAACCCAATCTTCTGTGTGTGTGTGGTGGATTCCAACCACAGAGAACAGTGGATTATCTTTGGGTGGCTGTGAATGAGGCCACAGCTGTATTAGTCACCGCAGCTTCAATTGTGCTTCTGTTTGGTTACCAAACTGCAACTCCATTGCTACCCCCTGGGTGACTGTATCCTCTGTGAACCATGTGAAAAGGAGCTCCGGTTGAATTGAAAACTTGTCCTGAGTTTGTAATTACAATACGACCTTACTTATTCAGGTCTCAATTAACTCAGCTTTAGGATAATCCGAGGTGAAGAAAAATAAAGAGTCGACAAAGAAAGAAAAGAAATGGGTGAGTCAAGGCAGGCATTGGAGTCTGTTGCCTTAGACCTTGGGGGGGCTCAAGGGAACCTTAAGTCCTGGGCTTACTCTGGGCCTCACCCACCCCAGAGCCAGATGTGAGTGGAACGGACTACCAATAACCTACTGACTGGTTGGAGCAGGGTTAGGAGTTCAGGAGATTAGCGAGAAAAACAAAACAAACTTAGTACTTAGTGTTCTATTCAAGATTATAAACTTCAATACTGATTTCTCAACGGCAACTCACAGCCTGTACCATACTGGTTCCTTAATCCCATTTCAGACAGCAAGCAAGTTCTACAGCGTTTGTTTCTTAATAGCTCTAGTTCTGAGTATCTGTCATCTTGGTTCATTTGTTGGCCTTTGGGTGCTGCTTGTTACCCTGTGTTTAAAAGACACCCAATGCACTTGATTCAGGCATCTTAATGAACCAGGCATTTTCAGCATGAACAGCGGGGTCTGCTTTTCCCTATTCTCTTGATGGTCCACCAGAGTAAACTAGATGACTTGGGGTAAATAATGGAAAAAAGATGAACTTTGGGGTCAGACAGATCTGCACCTGCTAACTCTGTGACCTCATCAAGTTATTTAACTTCTCTGAATCTGTATGGCAGAATGGTTAAAAGTACAGCCTTAAGGATCAGACTACATGATTTGAATCCTAGCCATCACTACATACTGGCTGGGTGTCCTTGAATAAATTACTGAGCTTCTTTAAACCTCAGTTTCTTCACCTGTCAAATACATGCGGCAGCTAGTTTACCTCCTTTCTTAGTAATAAACTCTTAATTTTTAGCTGCACACATGGCCTCCTAAATAAAGACCATATTTCTCAAGCTCTCATGTAGCTAGGTGTGGCTCTGTAACTATGGTTTGAAATATCATGTGCAATTTCTGGGAGGTGTACTTAAAAGGAAGGGTGTGTGCTCTTCTTCCTTCATCTTGTTTCCTGGAATGCAGATGTGATTGCTGGAGCTAAGCAGTCATCTTAAAACATGAAAATGGGGGCCACACTCTAGGGCTGGCAGAGTTGAAAGCTAAAAGAAGCTGCTGTCCCTGAACAATTTGAAGTTACTTTTAAATTTTAACATGAGAGAATACAACTTGTGTATTTAAGCCATTGTTAACTTAAGTTTTAGGTCACCTGATCCTAACTGCTATAATAGAGATCAAAATAGCTACCAAGGAACATGAGTGAAAAAGGATCTTCAAAAAAATCTTTCCTCCATAACAGCAACGAGAAAACTTGCAAAAATGATCAGAATCAACTTTTTTCAAAACTCTGAAAATTAACAAAAGGCTTTTTGGTTAGCCTATGTAGTCAATAAAAATACAGTTTTTTTTTTTCCAAGAAAAACCACTGGATCTCAGTAAGAACAAACAAGTTTGTGGCATTTTAACATGATCCCTCTCCAGTTCCACTGTGGCCTTGAAAACCAAAAGCTTCCAATACTGGTGACAACTAGAAACCTGCCAGCCACTGGAGGGGGCACGTTTAAAAACTAATTCTCAGAGAATTGTCATTATTTGACCTGTCTCATTATTTTTCTGAACGACTTCACTAGCAAGATTATCTTTATTTGACCTAACTTGGAGTTTACTCAGTGTAAAAAGCCTTTTACCCTGGTGTGTTTGTTGACAACAATTAGAGGGAATTATTTAAATTTACAGCTGCCTAAAGTGGTGGGTAACAGGTGGGGCAAACAATAAGCTAATCAAAAAGTTTAAAAGGAAAAACAGTGGAATGAAATGTTTTTGAGGGTTTTGGAAAACCCTGACACATTCTTGGGAATCTACAAGAATATGTATGCATATGTATAGCTGTGAGCATGTTCAGGGAAGACCTGAGAAAGCCCTAAATTCTCAGCTCTCGCTGACCTTGAAGCTCTGAAAAGG